TAACCTACAAAAGTCTGTTGCCTTTCTATATACCAATAACAAGCAATCAGAGAAAGAGTCCATGGAAACACTCAATAGCCTCCTTGTGAATTCAGTTTGACATCAGTTTCTTCCGAAGTGTTGTTGGTATTCCTGAGAAAGTTTGCTGTCTTCCCAGTCTTGGCCTGAAGCACCTCAACAAAGTCCTCTGCCCTGTCCACTGGGTTGGGGCCACACCCACTCTAACACAGCCAAATCTTCCTGGGCCTTGGGGGTGCATCTACTTCTAGTAGATAAGCTTCTTGGTGTAAATCAACCTTAATAAAGCTCTTTACATCCTAGTGTTGATCCTGGGCCTGACCTTAGCTTGCTTGACTCTTTTAGTATGAGAATTAAATTAAGCCATGACTGTTCTGTGCTGCACTGAGCTGGGATGTCCTCATTGTTGCCCAGATTTTCCTACTTAATATTCAGTTCTTGTTTTCAGACAGCCAAAACAACCCTGACCACTAAGAGCAATACTGGGGGATTACTATACCAGATTTCAAGCTGTATTCCAGAGCTATAGTCATAAAAACAATATGGTACTAGCACAAAAATAGACCCATAGATCAATGGAACAAAGTTGAAGACCCAATATGAGTACATGCAATTTCAGCAACCTGATATTTAACAAAGGGGCCAAGAACATTAACTGGGGGAAAGACAGCATGTTCAGCAAATGGTGCTGAAAAAACTGGATCTCCACTTGTAGCAGAATGAAACTAATCCCCTGTCTTTCACCCTACACAAAAGTCAATTCCAACTGGCTCAAAGACCTCAATGTAAAGCCTGAAACTCTGAAATTATTAGAAGAACACATTAGGAAAAACCTACAAGATATAGGCATAGGAAAGATTTTCTAAACCGGACATCAATTGCTCAGGAAACAAGGGCAAGAATTAACACATGGGACCTCATTAAACTAAAAAGCTTCTGTACATCAAAGGAAACAACCAAGGAAACAAACAGAAAACCCACAGAATGGGAGAAAATCTTCACCAGCGACACATCCAACAGAGGTTTAATA